TTTTTTTTTTTTTGTCGGGCGTCCACGTCTTAGTTGGTGTCGGGGTTATTTCTTCCACTGCGCAAGCAGCAGCCGTACAGCCCATGCAATACCTTGCAGAATTGGGTTCAGAACTCAGCTACTGTACTTCACGCACATCTGTTTCAGTGGGACAGTAGCAGCCATCCTGCATGATTGTAAGCGGTACCACCCAATGCGAAAGGTTTGCCAGGTATACCCAGCTACTGGTTGCTCTAACGCCTTGCAACATATTCAGGTTTCTGCATTATGTAGGCGATCCCTCCACCCAGTAAAAGCGAGCATGAGAAATGGTACTGTACGTAACTGTTGTGTCTATTCTTGCTAAGTCACGATAATTTGGCGGGAGATTACTTGGCGCATATATGGCGTAAACCCTACACTCCCTGTAGTACGCACCATTTCAAGATGCTTCCCGGCACCATGTGAATGGCAAAAACCTGGAACCTTAAAAGGTGCATAGGAAGCCGCTATTTCTCAATACTTGTGGTCCTTTGCAGCCACCATCATGCAAGGACATCAGTTTGGAGCTTAAATCCTCACTTTTCAGTCCAGGACCTCCCAGCACAGCTTCTGCGATTCGTCCACAGAGCCCTGGATTGAAGTCACATGGAACCAAGCTCACCTATAGTCCCCCTTAAGCAGATNNATCCCCATATACCCCATGGACTATAATTCAGGGGCTATAGCCGAGGTGCGCGGGCAACGCATGACAGCCAAGGATGTTACGACGGTTGATGCCTTAATTTGCGACCCAATGTGTTTTGTGTCCGTGTGCACACGTGTCGTAGAATTTGTAGCAGCTTCACTGAAAAATAAGGAGAAGGTTTATATTGTAGTCCTTGAAAACTGTTACTACAACAAATCCCAAGCTTTGAGTTGCTAAAGCACCTCCATTGGGGCTTTGGCTTGTGTGGCTTTGGAGCAAGCCTGTGCTTCTGACGAGTGGCTTTGGGGTCTAGGGTTTGGGGTGGTTTTGTGTGTGCTGTGAGATCAATTCGACCACAACTCCCTGGCGTTTATCAACAGGAAATGGCATCCAACATTCGCCCTATCACGGTAGGGGACCTTCCGCCCTCAAAACAGATCCAACAAATATCCACAATTTCGAAAAACCTCGTGCAACGTGCTGCATACATGGACGATAGATACCAACCAAAAGTAGCAGGAGCCCCAAACAATTCATGCTGTGGCACTTCAGGGTTTTGAGAAGGAGGCGGAAAGAACTCATGGTTCTTTGTTGCAGGGTTCCAGATATTAGGGTTGCTTTTTTGGATGAGTCTCTACGGTGGATGGTGGACATCCTCCACAGCGTAGGACGCTCCCAAAGCAAAGTAATTACCATGAGTTGGGCTTTATCGGGTGGCGCAACATTTCAACCATCCACAGTGTCCCCAATTTTGGACACTCCCAATGACTATCGATAGCATGGTCCTATAGTATCCGTTTATAGACATGGTCTACAGAGTGCATCAAGCATTTTTTTACCTCAATATGTCATCCGAAAATAAGGATTACTATCCCTAATAGTTACTATTACAGGGTGGGGGCTCTTTCTAGTGTATTCCCATCAGCCTGAAGAGGTTTGTAATTCGAGCGCGGAGCCCTGCCGTACAAGCCCTCGTGCTGGAGCCGTTGGTTGTTGTGCGTTACGACGGTATTCATGAAAGATGCCTATGATATAAAACGTGCGTAGAAAGATAGCTAGGCAGATGGACCGACAGACACACAGACACAGGGGGAGAATTCAAAGAGATGGATAGATTGGCAAATAGATTCCTAGACGCTCCTTCTACCCTCCATATACCCTANNAAGGGTACAAGGAGGGTCTTGGTTGATAGGAGGCCGCATGAAGCATGCGACCGTAAGCCTCAACATGTGAGCCTTGATCCTCAACCTTACCTGTATCCTCAATTACCCACAGCTTTATGAGACATACCTATTAATCAAGGGGTAGTCACTACTAAACTGTAGGTAGTTGGGGTTACAGGTAAGCCTGATTTTTTTGCATAGGGAAGGGGACAAGGAAGGCTTAAGTTGTTGCCTGCCTACTGCTTTCCAGCATGATGGCTTATCTCTTTTCAGTTATTTCGATCGAAAAAAGAACTTGGGGTAAGGTAGTCTGTGTCTAGGCTTGTGGTCTTTACAGGTATAGGACACCACTGATCAGCATCATGATATCTCTAGTGAGTGGTTTCTTGGCAACCCAAATCGCCCAGTTAGAACACTATGGCATACACATTGATAAGTAGAGTTCTTCTTTTGGGGTTTGGGGTACCATGGGTTACCAGAATTCGCGTACTAAAAATCATGCAGATTCCTCTAGCACCATTTAGCCCCAGTTTCCATTTAATTGC